CGTCTCAGCACAAGCACAGGTTCTGGGTTTAGGGCAGGACATCTTTGAGGGCCATTTGAAAAATCCTACCTACCACGGGGAGACATTGTTCCAAGTGTTTTACATTTAATAATTCATCAATCTTCACAACAACCCTAAGAGATAGGTTCTGTTATCGTCCTTCTGATATAGATGAGGCACAGAAAGATTGAGTTATTTGCCAAGGTCACTGAGCTAGTGAGTATCAGCGTCTGGACTTTAACTCAGGCAGCCTGGCTTCAACCTCATATCTACTATTCTACACTGCTACTCAATTTACTATTTCTGGAATTAATGGATATGTGAATAATTGCATTAGGTATGGAACTAAGAGTGCTAAGGATGAGTAAATTCCTTGATTTGTATTTTGTGCATAATTTCTTATGCTAATTGTTCTGTGAAGGAGATTCATGAAGTCTTACAGACACAAATCCTTAAGAACTCCATGTACTTGAAAAATCCTACAATAAAATTCCCCTCCTTTTTCGACTTCAGTTAAGGCACGTGAATTATAAACATTTGAGGCCAGTACGGAAATGGTCAACTCCTTTTGACATTGAGACAACATTATATATAGCCCTTTGCCCTCAGTCACTTTCTTCCATGCCAAACATGGCTGTGCCCCAGGGTGGATATTGACCGTCATGCAGGACAATGCCAACATGCTGATTTGGATTCTGGGAAAACATGTATGAGAAGAAAAACCAAAAAGGCCAAAAATTAGGGCTGAAACAGTAGAAGAAAAAAGAATGACCAGAAGTTGAAGTCATTCCTCCTATCTGAAATGTTTTTCACATGCGACTGGGTCTTTCTATGCTTCCCTGTCCTCTTATTGCTTAGCTGAGGTGAGGAAGAAACAACACTGGATATGAACTCAGAAATTTGAGCGCCAGTCCTGGCTCTGTGTCTTATGTGAACTTGAACAAGTCACTTAATTTTATGAATCTTACTCATCCCATCTGTAAAATAAAAGTAATAACAATATCCAGCTCACAGAATTTTGGAAAGAATCAAATAAAATACTGTCCTAGTCTGTTTGGACTCGTATAAGAGAATACCACAGTCTGGGCGGCTTATAAACAACAGAAATTTATTTCTCACAGTTCTGGAGGCTGGGATGTCCAAGATCACAGCTCCTGCAGATTCTGTGTCTGGTGAGAACCCGCTTCCTCATTGATGGCAGTCTTCTCACTGTAACCTCACATGGCAGCAAGGCGAGAGCTCTCTCTGGGGCCTCTTTTATAAGGGTGCTAATTTCTAATCACCTAATCACCCCCCAAAGGCCCCCGCTCCTAATGCCATCACCTTGGGGGTTAGGATTTCAATACATAAATTGGGGTGGGGGGGACATAAACCAGTCCATTGCAGACACTGAATGGGTCACACGACCTCTGTGAACTGTAAGGTATAGTACAACTGTACACGTTATTGTACCAGGTAACCAAGGGGCTGATGGAAGGAAGGGGTGAGGCATGCACAACCACCCTGCAAAAAGGTTACTCCTCCCAGCGTGAAGGTCTAAGACGAACATTGGCTTCGGAAGAAAGAAAGTGAGATTAAGAAGTTCTGTACCACCCGCTTGGCCTCTGCCGAGCATGCGTTTTGCAAAATGAAATATACTTAAGGAGTAAAAAGTAGCATCAATATCATCTTTAGAGGGAGAAATGGAGACAAAGAAAAATAATGTGCTCAAGTGGCAGAGCTGAAAGCCCAATTTGGATATGCTGACTCTCAATACAGTGCTTTAACTTGGACTAAAATATACCCACACTATGTATAAATATCAGGGAAAATATGGTCCACTGGTTGATTAAGAGAAGAAATTATGTTGCTTGAGTAAATACTGAAACCCAGTTGTATCAAATTAAATGGAATCCCAAAATGTTCATCCTCTCGAATCTCTGTAGCTAAATTGTCTGATATGAGTATCAAGTCATGGGATTGTCCTTAAAATGGTCATATAATCTACCGCTAAGAGAGGTGAAAATATTTCTCATGTGCAATCTCTCATGACCCTTGATTTCAGGCTTGTGAGACCCTGAGCACAGAATCCAGTCAAGCCTGCTCAGACTTCTGATCCGCAGAATTGTGAGATAATGAATGGGTGTTGTTTTAAGATAGAAAATTTGTGGTAATTTATTGCACAGTAGTTTGTCTCGACACTTTTTTCCACATAGTAATCAAAAAGCTTAAAGAGAGTCACCTTTCGAGCACATTAACATAAAAATAATGACTACAATCCATCAGTTTCTGGAAGCTGACTATTGCCAACCAGTGGGTTCTGGAAACCCAACAGGTGAGTATATGTGGCTTAAAGGTAGACAATCCAGAGTTCTCCAGTAACACCCCATCACCAACATTATGAACACGTATCCAGTAAAGGCCTTGCAATTAAGCTGATCAGCTATGTAAAAAAATTCAAGCCTCTAGATTGTCTTAAACAGTGTAGTACAAACCCTTAAAACACAGAATAACCTGGAGCAGCAGGCAAAACAGCTCAACAAGGTGGCTGCTTTGAGTTGAGCTAAAGAGGGTCCTGATAGTCAAACTCCATGGAGAACCTTATGAGAAATGATATCTACACGCAACACACACACCTCCCACCCAGGGCGACCATCTCTGGGGGAGACGCGGCACTTTAACCTCTTGTAATACTATAATATCGACTGTTATTGAGATGAACAAAGTTTAGTGATGCTTACTGGCGTCACATTTATTGCCACTTGGAACGATATGGTTAAATGTTTCAACAAGCGTCCTTAATCCATTTAGCTACTCCTACCTAACGTTAACATCATAGACACCCAAATGTTTGTTCATATGATTGGAGCAGTTTAAAAGAAGAGCTAAGTCAGAGGTTAAAAGAGAGGAAGAGGATTACCAAAAGAAAAGTCACTGGATTGAACCAATTCATGGCACAGATAAAGGCTCGGGGCTGGCTCTGAGGAAGACAGACGGTATGGTGAAAAGAGCATGCTCTGCAATACTCTGGGGCCAGAGGGACCCGGGCTCAAATTCATCTTCACAGCTCATGAGCACTGTAACGTGAGGGCAAGACTTTAGCTTCCTGAAGCTCAGCTCCCTCACCTATAAAATGACGATAATAATAAGAGAATGTGGTCACAAGAATCCCCTGAGAGAACATATGCGGAGGCCATCACACTACGCAGCATGCAGGGGTGCTCAGTCTATTCCAGACATTTCCTTCAGCTCATCATTACATACAGAGAATCGCTCTCTTTCCTCTACAGCCCACCGCCTTTAGCATAGATAAGGAATTTGACCTGCTAAGTGAGAAGAATGGTATAATGACATCAATCACAGGAAGAGAAAAAAGATACTTCCCTGTATGTAGAAGGGCCAGAAGAATGGTAAGGAAACGATGTTTGAAAACCTAGCTTCACTCTTTACGAGTTGGTTAATCTTGGACAAGTTATTTAACCTATTTGTGCCTCAGCTTCTTCATCTGTACACAGAGGAGGATGATCATACTTGTCTCATAGAAGTGGTATGAGAATTAAATGAGCTAATAGACGTTAAGTACTAATGACTGTGCTGGCACACGGTTAGCACTCAGTAAATGTTAGCTGTTATTATTAAATGTTATTATTACTCACAACAGCCTTATGTGTGCAATGCCTTCAGGAGAACGAAGGAGGAAGGCTAGTGTTTGCCATGAGGCAAAATTGTGCAGAAAAAGGCATGGCGGCAACAAGAGGATAGACTGTACAGGGTAGGAGCCAGTGAGCAACGGAAAAATGAGCTGTGCAAAGAATAATAAACACCTATATAATGTTCACTATATGCCAGGCACTGTGCTAAGGCTTTTATGCATATTAATTTACTCAATTGTCTTAACAACCCTTTAAGTTATTGACTCATTTAATCCTCAAAACAAGCCTATGAGGCAGATGCAATAATTATTCTATTTTGAAGATGAGGAAACTGAGGAACAGAGAAGCTGAGTAACTTGACCAAGGTCACACAGGAAGTGGCAGAATCAGGATTCAATCCTAGGCAGTCTGGCTCCAAAGTCAGGAGCAGTCTATGTTCCATTGTTAATGTAGACTACCGGCTGCAAGGTGGGCTCACTGATACACCCACCGTCCATCTCCTCAGAGATATGAGGCAGTTCTGGGGTAAGAACTCCAGTGTATGAGATGAGATCTCAAGCCGTTTTTTAAAAAGAGTGGTCAAAGAAAGCTTGAGGACATTCAAGCTAGAGACGTTGTGAGGAGAGAAAAGTAATGGATGTGGATAGGTTGATGAGAAGATTTTCTGAGATATGTCTCTATATAAAAACCAAAGGAGAAATCAAATAAATGAAATCGGCTACAAAATCAATATAAAAATTATATTCTAGGGGCCAGCCCCATGGCCGAGTGGTTAAGTTCACGCGTTCTGCTTCGGTGGCTCAGGGTCTCGCTGGTTTGGATCCTGGGCACGGACGCGGCACCGCTCATCAAGCCGTGCTGAGGGGGCATCCCACATGCCACAACTAGAAGGACCCACAACTAAAATATACAACTATGTACCAGGGGGCTTGGGAGGGAAAAAGGAAAACTAAAATCCTTAAAAAAAAATTATATTCTATAAAATTTTGTTTAATTTTTATTTAAATTAGTTATGGAGTGCATTTAAAACTCAGCTCACTAGACTCCTAGGCAAATTTTCTTCCTCCTTGAAGCATCGATTAGTGAGGAAATCTGGCTTGAAGTATTCTCTCCTCACCTCACACTTACCTTGAAATTAGACTTAATCCTAAAATAAGAAGACAAATTCCCAGTGATACAGACATGCTTAAGAATTGCTTACACCAAGGATTCCATTTTTTTTCCATCCCAAGAAAGGAGCCAGCAGACCTCAGGGAAGACTCAACACCCCAGGCATCTGGCCAAGCCCCACAGGGTCCTCCCCAGGGAGCCTATGATGCCACCAACAGCTATGCAGGGGTAGGGTCTGGGGTGGGGAGCGGAGTTTACCTGCTGGGGGAGTGCAGCCAAGTTCTTGAAACCTTCGTACACATCAGGTGGAAAAGGAAGCTTCACGGAAGAGCTTCTTCATGCCTATTTTAATAAGCAAATCAAGTTTGCTTGGAGGAACGGGTTATGAAGAAGGGCCAGGCTGTCTCCCAAAGTGAGATTTCCCAGTTCTGTTGATTTTTTTTTTTAAGGCACTAAACTTTGTAATGGTAGAAGAAAACTGACCCTGGAAAGAATACAGAAAAAGGCAATATTAGTGAAGGTTTTCTCCCTACCAATCTTGAGGAGAAATGGGACCAGGACGGCAGGAAAGAGAGAAGATGATGAATTAGCTTTATTTCTGCCAACTGCTGCAACTTCTTTGTACTCCAAACTGTTCGCTAGTGCAGAGATTTAAGTCTGTATCCAGAGAACACTCAACACAAAGCTGGGATGGGAGTGGAAAATAGTCAACTCCTGCAGCAGCTTCCTGACTGGTCCCCAGCTCCCAGATTCATGCCCATCCACCATCCTCCTCCCCACTAGCTCCAGTCAGATTTCTAAAAGACGAATCTGATTCTCTTCCTCCTCCGCCAAAATCCTCCAAATATTTGCCATCATCTACAGGAAATGAGTCCAAATTTTTAGCATGGACTAGAATGCCCTTTATAACCTACCTACCTTTGAAAGCTCATCTTTTCCCGTCCACTGTCTGATGTACTGGAAGAAAGAAATGGATGCTTGCTGCCCTGGCAGAGACCTCTTTGCAGATTATGATGGCTGTAAACCAGCTTCCTGGTCTTAATCTAGAGAGAAGTTGGTGCAGGGAGTCCAAAGATTCAAATGGAGGTGCACTGGACGGGGGAGAAAAAGGAGAGAGCATGTATTAAATCACAAAACGTGCATTCGTGAAAGTTTCCTCAAGCTCTCCCAAGTCAGTATGTATAAAGTCTCTTGCAGGCATGTGTAGCAGATTAAGGAACACATCGTTTAATATGCAAACATGTTAACTATCTTCTTTTTAAGTTCGGGCTTTTTAAAATTTAATTTTAGGTATCTGCCTTTCCTAATTCTGGTGAGATTGGGGGTATTTCATTTAGAAAGGCTGTCTTTTCCCTCATTAAGGCAATCAAAAAGGAAAATCCTGGTTGAAAATGAACTTTCTGAGAATATCCACCTTTGTTGATGAGGCAAAAGACGACCCACCTGCTACTGACCTTCCTTTTTGTTATCAGTGAAAACCTGGGTCCAAAAAACACCATGTTTTAGCATCATGTCGAGCAGGGCTCAGTGTAGAAACTGAATAATCTGCTCTGGAAATTAACATTGATATTTAATATATAAGAAGCCAAATACATAAAGATGATTCATTGAAACTAATTATTTGTATCATTTAATAGATACCTCACTGGGCAAAAGGAATCAATGCAGATTGTTCTAAAGTACAAACTCTCTGAAAGCTCAAAAGACACTTATTCCATTTACAGAATATTAAATAATGCAAAACTGCTGGGGACAATATTCAGCACAGAGATGGGACTACAGGCACCTCCTCCAAACCACATGAACTTTACCTTCAGCTTTTCCACCTCAGCAGCAGTGTCACAGCAGTGAGAAAGGCCTCTCACTCCACCCGAAGAATCTATCACGAAATTTTGTCACAAACCTCGGAAGTGACATTTTGCTCTTTCTCCATGTGGCGCAGAGCCATTTCACACCTGCTAGCAAAAACATACTTGTAAATAACATTTTTCAAGGGAAAAATTAGAAATCAACTCCAAAGCAACTGTAAATAACACCCATCTACCACGATTACAGTACCACCAACTGATACACAGGTCTCAGGCACGTCAAGATAATGAAAATCGAGTTAATAAGGGAAAAAGAAAGCAAAATGGGTTATTATAATGAAGCCTCTCTAGACGTTATCCTTATAATTAATCCTGCTGGAGAATTAATTTTTAATTAATATTTTCAAAGATTTTTTAAGACAGAGAGAAAAAATAAAATAGAGACAGATTTCAAAGATTTTTTTAAGACATAGAGAAAAAATATGCTTTATTAAATATCTAGTTCTGGATACGCATTCCATTCATGCATGTATTCATTCATTTTAAGTTTTAGGAAGGCAGGAATTTTTGTCTGTTTTGCTCGCTGCTGTATCCCCAACTCCTAGAACAGTGCCTGGCACAGGGTAATAGCTCCACAAATATTTGTTGAATAAATTCATTCGTCAGACTTGTATTGAGTGCCCACCATGTACCAGGTCACGTGATAGGGCCCAGACATATAAAGATTTGCTCACAGTCTGTAAAGAACTTTCTTCTCAGCTCCACATTCGTGTATCTGGATGCTTCCTGGGAATATCGAATAGACTTCTCAAAGTTGACATGGCTAAAACAGGATTTCTTTTTCTACCACTGACTCCCCCTCCCCTTGCCCCAAATCATTCCTACCTTTGTCCTCCCTGTCTCAGCCAATGCTACTGCCGTCCACTTGATGTGGAAACCACAAAAACATAGTCAACTTCTCTTCCACATTCAGTTGCTTCAGCTCTAACCTATCCCTTCACTTCACCTGGTCCAAGCCACCACCGTGTCTCGCCAAGGCACACTGGTCTTCCTACCGCCACTCTTGCTGTAGCTACAATCCAGCCAGAGCAATCTCTTTGAAACATGAACCAAATCAGCTCACTGTCCAACTTAATGCCCCTTCCATTATGCTGATGTCCACTAACTCCCTACCATGAGCCACAAGCCCTCGGAGCACTGTCTCTGGTCCCCCTCCGCCATCTTGCATCATGCTCCACTTCCCTCCTGCCCACTGCACTCCAGCCTCACTGGCCGTCTTGTGTCCTTACTTCAGGGCCTTTGTACGTGCTCCTCCCTCACTGGAATATTCTTCCCAAAATAATGGGATCTTTGTCGTGATTCAGGTTTCTCTTCAAACGTCACCCTCTGAGAGAAGTGTTCCATGACCACCCACCCAAATTTCTGACTCTAAATTACCACTGATGCTTACTTGGTAAACAGCTAAGAGGTCTCCAAATAGAGCCAAGCCTGAGCCTCTCCTTCCACCCTCAGCATCCCCAAGGGGTAGAGGAATTCCTCCACTAGCATCTAACTGACCCCCTCCTCACTTTCTGATCAGCTGCTTTTCTCAACAAACAAATGAGCCAGACAACTGTGACTCACCCACATGTGGGTCAGCCTCACTTTGACTCTCCTTCTCTGACACAGAATCTGTTTGGGATGTGACTCTGTGGGTCCTACTGGGTGTGCTCCACTTGGTTCTGTCACATCACTGGAAAGGACTTTTCTTTTCAAATAAAAAAATGAAGCACAACAATTCCACCCCTATGTACATATCCACAGAAATGCATGCACATGTGCCTTAGGAGACAGATGACAATGTTCATATCAGCTTTATTCATAATATCCAAAAACTCAAGCTACCCAAATGTTCATCAAGAGTAGAATAGATTAATAAATTTTGGCATATTCATGCAATAGAATTCATATAGCAATGAATACCTTATGTAACAATATGGATGAACTTTATAAATCGATGTTGAACAAAAGAAACAAAACTCATAAAAACACATTTTTATATGATTCTATATATAAAAGGGTCAGAAATGGGAAAAAATCAACTGTAGTTAGTATACTTTGGAATAATATAGAGGTGGTAGAACCTTAGGGAAATGTAAGGAAGAAACTACCATAAAAATTAGGAGAGTGTTGATCTTGGGGGTGGAGACAGGGGTTGGGGATTGGAATGGAGTACATGGAATGTCTCTGGGGAATGTTAACCATATTTTATTTCTTGACTTGGATGATAGTTACACAAGTGTTCATACTATAATTCAATAACTGGCATAATTACATTTTATGCACATATCTCTACATATGTTATATTTTGAGGGGAAAGAGTTTAAAAAATTGAGACATATCCTGCTAGGTGGAAAAGAACTGCCCCAGGACTTCTTGTCACTTAATACAAACAAATTTCAATCCATTAAGTACTGTTGCAAGGTTTCCAATATGTACAGCCAAACACAATCCTAGCTGATACCACATTCAGAGGGTGGCTAGAAGAACAGGGTCAATGAAGGAAAGAAACAAACAAAAAGTGTTGTTAGAGTTAATAAGAGAACCAGGAAAGCAGATTAGATAGGAGGGTCAACTTGAAACCAAGGACTACCAGCAAGGGGTCAAAGAGGATGAGAACACAAAGAGGCCATTTTATTTGGCCATTAGATGGTTAGTTTCAAAAGTAGTGAAAAGAAGAAAACTAGATTAATGTACATACAATCTAATTGAGGAGAAAGGACGTTTGAAATTTAAAGGAAGTTAGTCTTGGTTGACAGTTCAAGAGAACCGCTTCATGTAAGCGGTTTGAGGAATACAGGTGAGAGAAAGTAAGGTGTAAGATGGAACCTGAATGTGAGAAAGCTCAGCCAGGTGGAAATTTAGGGGAAAGGCGAGGGGATGTTTCAAAAAGCAGAGGCAGTCGCATGTGTGAAGGTCCTGAGCTGATGCGTTAATGTTTCGGACATCTTTCCAGACAGGACCTTTGTTTTATACAAGACAGGCAGACTGACCGCTTTTCTAAGCATAGTCACATGGTGCTTTCCTGTCTCCTCACCAGAGCCTACGTGAGAATATCCTTCCTACGTTGTCCCCTTTTCCTCCTCTTTCTTCAAGTCACAACTTGGTAATTCATTATATCTTGCCTTAAAATCTTACACTCATATAGCTCTTTTTATTCTTCAAACAGTTGTCACATATGTGCCTTGTCAATGCTTGTGATGTCTGTGCTGTTTCAAATGTCCCTTCTCCTCAACTAGATTGTAAGTAGTTCCCTAAGAGCGGCGTCCGATTGTCCGTGTCTCCTTCCTAGCACAGTGCTTTGCCAGAGCAAATGCTTGCTGTTTATTAATATTTAGGAACATGGTTTAAGTAAGCAAAAAAGAGCAAAATTATCACCCAAAACTACCTAGTCATTAAGGTTCTCGATTATTCTCAAGGGAGAAATGGAAAAGACTAAATTTTCTCAGTGTCACTTCCAATGGATCTATGTAGGGATCCATCCACTCTGATGAGAAATTATGCAGGTGGTTTCTGCTCTATAAACGTCACAAATTTGGACTTAGAGGTTCAAATAGTTGGGTTAGCATGACACTAAAACCATTTTTACATCAAGGATAATTCAGACCGTAGGTCAAATATTTATCCTGTTTGTGGAAATGCTGCTGACACCTAAATCTCCAGAATCACTGACATTTCCTGAGCAAAGGAGGATTCTCTTCGATTGCCACTTGGAAAGAGACATATGGGGGCCTGTGGCAGTAAATTTCCAAAAGATGGGTGGTCAGAAATTGGAAGCAAAATTTCCAGTCATAATAAAAGGATACATATAACTGACTCCCTTAGATGAGATTTTTGAAACCAAAAAAAAAAAAGTTTGAACTTTGAGATTCTTTTCCTAGAGGCAGCAGCAGAGCACTTTGTGCGTTGATTCCATTGACTGGTTTACAAAGTTGTGGATGCATATAGCAGTTCAGAACAGGTTCCAGTGCCCTGTGTGAGATGCCCAGTGGCAAAAACACTCATTCCAAGACTCATAGGTGTCCTTTCATTAAATGGAAAATTCCACTATCAGTAAAACTGATAGTATCGTACCAGCACATACTAGTGCTGATTAAGTGATAAGCCTCAAATGCATTTCCATACTTGGGGACTATCTAGCAGGAGCAGGGTGCTGCAGGTGATAATTAGTGTTTGCCTGATAAAACAAGATGTATGTTTTGCCACTTGGGATGTAAGGTAGACTTAGTTACAGGAGAGGCGTAGGCGGCCCTGCGCAACTCACTATTATGAATAAACTGTCTCTGAGAGATTTGTAATTATTTTCTATTAACTCAACAAGCACTTATTAGGCACCTACTCTGTTGCAAGCACTGAGCCAGGGCACAGGGGTGATTAAGCTCACCTCGCCATCCAGGAACTAACAATCAAGTGGTGGAGACAAACAAGTAAAACAGAAATTTTGCCAAACTGTGAAGAGGGCTATAATAAAAGGAGGAGGAAAGTACGGTGGGTTCAAGAGAAACAAAGAATATTAACCAGGGGCCGGCCCCGTGGCCGAGTGGTTAAGTTCGAGCTCTCCATTTCGGGGGCCCAGGGGTGGCCAGTTCGAATCGTGGGCACGGACCTACACACTGCTCATCAAGTCATGCTGTTTTCTACTTCTATTCATTTTATCAAGTTGTTCCCTCTATGTCAAATGCTGTTTCCCTGCCTCCCTTTCCTTCCTCTCCCACCACAAATCTCTGCCCACCTCTCTCATCATATCCATCTGTTAAAGTGATATTTGAGATGAGGTTGGGCAGAAGGAAGATCAAGGATTCTGGAATTAGACATCTCTGACTCGAACCCTGCCAATATCATCTAATTAAGTCACTTAACATCTATGACCTCCAGTTTCTCCTTTTGTAAAATGAGAATGGCATCCCCTAATATAGAGTGTCATTGTGAGGGAAAGCTGAGACTTGGATAAAGTTCCCCGGATGCTTTGGTGTCAGGCACCCAGTCAGTGTACAATAAATTCCAGTTTTCGTCCTTTCTTAAGACCCAGCTCAAATCCCTGCTTTCCTGAGGAGCCTCTCCGCTTTCCTGCTTAGGACCTGTCTCTACGATAGCCTGGGAGCCCTTCC